ATACCTCCCTGGGGTCAAACTCTATGGAAGAAAAAGTGAGCCACACTGGAGCTTCAAATAAAGGTATATGTCTGGCTTACAGAGGTAGTTAATAAAATAGAAGTCACACACTGGGCATTTGATTTGCTAGGAAAATTTAAAAGGCATGATTCTCATATAATATGTCACTCTGTTATACCCATTTAACATTAAACCAGTATTTATTTATATTAGTGTTCCATATCTGTGGCTTGTTTTTTAGTTTCACAGTTCCCCTGCATATGTTGCATGTTAGTTAATAAGAAGATGGGCAAAATTAATGTATACTGCAAAAAAATTAATTTACATTGCAAAAAAAAAGTCAATTTGTGAAATTATGCAATTCACTAGCCTTTTCTCTTATTAATGTTGTTGGTATAATATTGTCTGGCACCAGCAGAGGGCACTCTCAGAAAATAAATGCAAGAAGAATACAATAATTGTAATTGTTAATAAATGCCTATTATTTGGGAAAACCAATGGAGCGTTTCCATTTATAGTCAATTTAAGAGTTTCACAGTGCAAATTTATAACAAGTGATTATGGGATGTTGCAAGAATACCATAGACAAACTGGGATAATTATTTTGTACAATAATCAAATGCTCCCAATAAGGCAGAATTATTAACTTTGCCAAAAAAACCAAAAAAAATATCTCTGAACTTCACTGCTACTCCTGAGATCATTCACTTTCACTTTTTGTACTCTAAGAATATTTTCCAAGGAGCAACTTTAATGGTCTCAACAGGGCTGGCCTTACCATGAGGTGAACTGAGGCGGCCGCTAGAACCCAGAGAATTGAGACCTTTCAAAGTTTTGGCCTAAGTGAGAGGGTATGGGGGTGTCATTTGAGCTCCCCCCTTCAGGTGCCAAAATGTTGTGGGCTGGAACTGGGTCTCAAGATCTTTTACAAGTGGTTTCATGCTGGGTGTTAAGGAAGAACAGAGAGTTCTATTATTACAAATGATAGTTTAGAAAAATCTTTAATTGTGTTAATTCCTCTTTCTCCATGCTGCATGGTCTATGCTCAATGTGCAATTTAAAATCATCTGCATCTTAGCAGTGTGTAATTCCAGAAAATAAATGCAATCTATGTGTATCCAAAGCTTTCAGTGACCTAAAGGAGAGTTCGGGATGAGCAAGAAATTAAGTCAGGCCTCTTTGGAGTGCCAGGAACTCCATTAAGTCCTCTAAGGACTTCTCTGTTACTACTGATTTTACATGGAAGGTGCTCAGATACTGCATCTGTGGACAGGAGTATAAAACCCTAAGTAATTGTAGTCCAATTACATTATCACTAAAGACTCTATCAATGTATATGAATTATATCAAATATATATATACATCATATGTTATAATAAATATTATATCATGGATTACATTACTGGCAGTTTTAGGAAGAGGTTGCTTTTGTGTACTATATTAACAAATCATTAATCTGTTTTCCTAAACATTATTTACTATTAGTTTAGGTTTTTTATGTTTTACTCAATTGTGTTGTCACTTAACTGTTTTAAGATATTTTAGTTATTTCTGGGTTTTTTTGTTCACTATTTTTCTTCTTCTTCTTTTTGGAATACCTGGGTGATAACAATTTAGCTGCTCAACGCAAAAAGATTGCCTTTTTGAGAAGCAAAAGCAAGGACAAAGAAAAGTCTCCTAAGTCTCCATCGAATCATCAGTCTTTCACTAATCGTCTGCGGTTCTGGTCTTCTTCCGACATCCCATCCTCTCCTAATGAACCTCTTTCTTTCTCGGAAATGGGAGATTTCTAACACCTTGTCTCTAATTTCATATATTTCTCAAGTTTAAAACAAAAACACTCACATGATTAAATGAGCACACACAGTGGTACAAACACTCAGCATGTCCTTAAAATAAACTAAATACAAGCACAGATTAGTGGGTGTGGACTTAATTTTTCCAGTAGAAGATGAATCAGTATTGCACACTATGGATCATTTCTTCAATGCAGTATACTTGTAGGGGACCTCATGACATACAGTACGCATATTATACTGGCTGTGGTGCACGTCATAAGTAAGTGAAGTTGCTGTGCGCTTCATTGTCTTCTTGCAATCACAAACCTGCATCATGTCCAGCTCAAATGTGAAAATTGCTTTTGCTATGCTTCCTACACTGTTATCCCTACTAAAATACAAAGCTAACATATAAGCACACTCAAATCTTTGAGATTTTTCCAGTGCTCTGTGCAATTTGACTGCCAACTTATTGATATTTCTCTGTTCTTCCAGGCAGTCTAGATCTATAGATATGTGACATTCATTAGCATCACTTCTCTCCAAATGCCTCAATGTTTGCATTCTAAACAGCCCTTTTTAGAAGTTTTACACATTCAGTTATAAAATTTCATCTTGAATGAAAGTTGTGGGATAAGAGCTGAGCCTCCAAGCATTTGGTTTTTTAGAGTGTTTTTATGTCAGAAAACATGATTTGATTTCTTTCAGTTGCCCAAATTCCTTATCCTCTAAGAGTCATTGGCATTTGGTGGCTTGTCAAATGAACTCATGATCACAGGCACTTCCTGTTGAACAAATGTGCATATCACAGGTGTTGCCTCTCTGCTCATCCTCAGCAGAGAGACCAAACTCCCTTTTCTTTCATAAAGGCGATTCTTCCATATTAGAGCAGAGCACACCGGCATAGCAACCTAAGGAAACTTGCACTGAAATTAACTGAATTAAATTAATGAATAGCATCAGTCTCCAGACCTATTAATTCAGGATCTTTGAAAGGCACTAAATTCACTAATTAATTTTTCAAAGGAAGTTTGAAATATTGACTTGCATGGCAAGTTTTATCCCATAATAATTTTTATCCCATAATAATTTTTATGGCTGTGCTATACATTTCTAAAATGTGGGAGGGAGTAAAAACGGTGCACACCCTACGCTGTAGTAACACACACATACCATGCCTCTGCTGTAGAATTTTTTTCCTGAGAAACTTTCAGAAATAGCATAACCCTGTAGTTAGAATCCTGTGCAGATATAAAATTTGTATTCACCAATTTGTATCTGCAAAAATGAGCCACAGCTATCTGCATCCTTATCAAGAGATGTGGATACCAATGGCTATAAAGCAAATATCTGGATTTGCAGGGCTCTACCAACAGTACCCTGGTCCACCTTTTCAAAAACATTGTTATTTCTTCCCCATACCTTTGAACTAATCAATTTGGTTTTGTCCCTGTCAGCTGCTTATTTTGACCATCTGCTCTGCTTTGTTTGCAGGATCTAATGGCCATTTGTTAACCATCACTTTCAGAAAAATGCAGGAAGCTAGAATCTTGCTTCTCATCAAGGCTCTTTTCTAAAATGAAGGCTTTAAATTTCACACTGCTTTATGCGAGCCTTAAAATGTGTATCAGCTGGGTTAATTTTTTTTAATACATCCTGTATTATCACTGGATAAAACACTTTGTGTCCATTTAAGTGTGTTTATAGTAGGCATTATTTGTTGTTATCCCAAAATCTTGTTTAAGAAATCAGTGCAGAAGAAGGAGAGTTTAAGCCCTCTGGAACATCTGAGCTTTTATCACAGCAGAATTCTTACAGACAGACATCATATCTCAACATGAATTCTCTTAGGTGATTTCAAATTAGGAACCTTGGTTTTGAATCTGGCTTTGACTTGTCAGTATATTGAAGCTTTATTCCCTTTCATTACTGAAGCAAGTGCTTATAAAATGTATCTTAGGGAATTTCATATCTCACATTTTTTCTGCTTTCATGTCTTTGCTCCCTTATCCTGTTGCATGTGTAAAAACAATCTTCCTATTGGCCCTAAAGCAACCCTCGTCACTCCTAAGCACACTACTAAGCAAAACTGGTTACAGAAATCTCTTCCCCAAGAGTGAACTGGTAATTGAAAAGCTTGCAAAACTAGCCGTCTGTTGCACAGTTTTTGTGTGTGCCTGCTTGTTGTGTTTATACGCAAATGGATAGATAGAAAAATACATGTTGTTTGTGTTGTTTTTTATCACTTTGTTTATTTACCTTTTCCTCCCCTACTTAGCATTAATGGATCTAAAACAAAACCAAGTTTCCCAACGTGGAAGCATCAATGATTGTGTTGAAAATTCACCAGATTCTGCCACTAAGCATCCCTGCATGGATCTGGGCTCCAGGACGTACTCTACCTCAGCCATCCACTTGACCACTTTAAGTTCTACTCCCACTTCCAGGCACCAAAGCAAACCCAAAGGTACGTGGTGCAATCTGATATTTAGCCTATCTACACCTAATCCATCTCCCAATACTTGGACCTCCCCCTTCACTGCAATGTGAACTCCTTCCATAACAGATATTTCAAGGCACTTAATAGGCCTTCTAGAGCCCTACAAAGCCATGTAGCTGCTTATTATCAACTGGTATCCACGTCTGCCAAGGTAGATGGATACAGCTGGGCAAGGTACTCCCTGGCCTGTAGCATCTGGCTTGGACAGGCCAGGGTGCAGCATACTCAGGGAATGCTGCCAGTGACTGAAGTTAGGCAGCAGGCTACTGTTGGGGCTGTCCAGCCTCCAATCACCGCACCACTTCCTGTCCAGCAGCTCGGGCTCCTCAGCACTAGTGCCCCCAATATGGCCCAGCCTGACAGCATTTGCCACACTCCTAGCCTGCTGGGTCCCAGGGAGCAGAGTCTGCCCCCATACACAAGGATTGGAGTAGTGTTGTAAAATCCCATGTAAATTGTTAACTGATTAAACTATAAGTGTAATCAGTTATCTGTGCCACTGGTGGGGAAGTGCTGGAGCAGCCTCCTGCCTGTGGTACAGTGGGCCTAGCTGGACTGGAGCAGCCTCATAGCTAGGCATGTTGGGCTGGGATGGGCTGGAGTAGCCCCCTTCGCCACAGCGCATGTTCCTGTGCTCCCCCTTCTCCCTTCCCCCCCAGCTCTTGTTAAATGGCTTGATGCTGTGGGTGCGAATGCAGATACACACAGGACAGCTGGCAGATCACAGGTTAGGTGCATGATGATTCTGGCAGATGCAGGTAGGATGCAGATCCACATTTTTGTAGCCACACAGGGCTCTGTCTGTAGCAAAGTGAGATCCCTGATAAGTTAGAGGAGGGTGCATGCCAGATTCATAGCCACGAAAAACACATCACAGGCCATGAAATCTGGTCTCCTTCTTGTGAAATCGGATCTTTTGTTTGCTTTTACCCTGTACTGTACAGATTTCACTGGGGAGATCAATGTTTCTCAGATTGGGGGTCCTGGCCCAAAAGAGTTGCAGGGGATCACACAGTTATTTTAGGGGGATTATGGTATTGCTATCCTTACTTCTGCACTGCCTTCAGAGCTGGGTGGCCAGAATGTGGCAGCTGATGGCCATGTGCCCAGCTTTGAAGGCAGAGCCCCACCTGCAGTGGCACAGAAGTAATGGTGGAAATACCATACTGCTGCGTTCAGAGCTGAGCAGTCTGAGAGCAACAGTTGCTGATTGATAGTTCAGCTCTGCAGGCAGCTACACAAAAGTAAGGATGGCAAAACCATACCATCCTTCTGATTTGCCGTTGGTGTCTCTGCCTTCAGAGCTAGCTCCAAAGCAAACCCAAAGGTACGTGGTGCAATCTGATATTTAGCCTATCTACACCTAATCCACCTCCCAATACTTGGACCTCCCCCTTCACTGCAATGTGAACTCCTTCCATAACAGATATTTCAAGGCACTTAATAGGCCTTCTAGAGCCCTACAAAGCCATGTAGCTGCTTATTATCAACTGGTATCCACGTCTGCCAAGGTAGATGGATACAGCTGGGCAAGGTACTCCCTGGCCTGTAGCATCTGGCTTGGACAGGCCAGGGGTGCAGCATGCTCAGGGGCTGCTGCCAGTGACTGAAGTTAGGCAGCAGGCTACTGTTGGGGCTGTCCAGCCTCCAATCACCGCACCACTTCCTGTCCAGCAGCTCGGGCTCCTCAGCACTAGTGCCCCCAATATGGCCCAGCCTGACAGCATTTGCCACACTCCTAGCCTGCTGGGTCCCAGGGAGCAGAGTCTGCCCCCATACACAAGGATTGGAGTAGTGTTGTAAAATCCCATGTAAATTGTTAACTGATTAAACTATAAGTGTAATCAGTTATCTGTGCCACTGGTGGGGAAGTGCTGGAGCAGCCTCCTGCCTGTGGTACAGTGGGCCTAGCTGGACTGGAGCAGCCTCATAGCTAGGCATGTTGGGCTGGGATGGGCTGGAGTAGCCCCCTTCGCCACAGCGCATGTTCCTGTGCTCCCCCTTCTCCCTTCCCCCCCAGCTCTTGTTAAATGGCTTGATGCTGTGGGTGCGAATGCAGATACACACAGGACAGCTGGCAGATCACAGGTTAGGTGCATGATGATTCTGGCAGATGCAGGTAGGATGCAGATCCACATTTTTGTAGCCACACAGGGCTCTGTCTGTAGCAAAGTGAGATCCCTGATAAGTTAGAGGAGGGTGCATGCCAGATTCATAGCCACGAAAAACACATCACAGGCCATGAAATCTGGTCTCCTTCTTGTGAAATCGGATCTTTTGTTTGCTTTTACCCTGTACTGTACAGATTTCACTGGGGAGATCAATGTTTCTCAGATTGGGGGTCCTGGCCCAAAAGAGTTGCAGGGGATCACACAGTTATTTTAGGGGGATTATGGTATTGCTATCCTTACTTCTGCACTGCCTTCAGAGCTGGGTGGCCAGAATGTGGCAGCTGATGGCCATGTGCCCAGCTTTGAAGGCAGAGCCCCACCTGCAGTGGCACAGAAGTAATGGTGGAAATACCATACTGCTGCGTTCAGAGCTGAGAGTCTGAGAGCAACAGTTGCTGATTGATAGTTCAGCTCTGCAGGCAGCTACACAAAAGTAAGGATGGCAAAACCATACCATCCTTCTGATTTGCCGTTGGTGTCTCTGCCTTCAGAGCTAGCTTCCCAGCCAGCAGCCACCACACTCCAGCTGCCTTCCTCTGAAGCCAGCTATGGCGTGGAAGTAAGAATAGCAGTACTGCAAGCCCCTTCCCTCCAAACTCCTTTTTGTGTCAGGATCCCTACAATTACAACACCGTGAAAGTTCAGATTTACATAGCTTAAATTGTGAAAATTAAGGTTTTTAAAACCCCATGATTATGAAATTCACCAAAATGGACCATAAATTTGGTAGGGTCTTAATTTTAGGTCTTATTGACACTAGCAAAGCTACCATGTGGGAAGTTGCATTTCAACATACTAGTCAATACTTTCAACTCAATTTGGCTGTGGTCCCATTGATTCAAAACAGTGTGTACTTCTCCCACATTACCTTTATAAAAGTCACTCAGCAGACTGTACCGCTTACACTATAATGTTCACAGCAGATCTGTGGGGTTGCCCTTCCTAAACTTAATGTTACCCACTAAATCTTATATTCTTTTTAGGATATAATTCAGAGGATAATCTTTGTGAGCAATTCCCTGAGGTAGAGTTTTCAAGAAACAGACAACATGGTATGTTTGTAGAATGTAAGATTATACTAATCCCCTATTTTGCTTCACGATGTCTAAACAAACCCTAATCAAGCTTTATACTTAAACTTCAATTATAAAATTGATCTGAAATTATTTGTTAATTTCTTTGGGGATTGGGAGTCCAAAGTTTTTATTTTAGGATTTTTCTAAAATAATGTGGATGAAAAAAAAAACAAAATAAATTTGTAATCAAGACAAACAGATCTGCCTCAGCGTGTGCTAGAGTTTCCACACAGATTTTTAAGATAAATATTTACATATAACAGGGCGGAAAGGAATTAGCCGTAGTATATTTCTTCGGGGGTGGTAGCAGCAGCGTTGGATAAGAATTGCCTTCCTGGAGGACATTGAATTTGCAAGCTGGTTAACAGCACTAAAAATTCACTAGTCTCCTCTAAAAAGAAACTTGAAAATAGAGAAGAAGAAGAAGAAAGGAAAAAAAAACTGAAAATTTTAAATAAAAATGCATGTTTCATAGCTGGACCAATAAAAATTGCTGTAGTATATTAAACCTAACATTACATTAGCTCTTTTTCATTATTAAAAATTGTCTTTGTGGCAAACATAAGTACTGTAGAAGCAAACTGAAGAATATATTTCTCTGAACAAAATGATATCAAGAAAAGAAGATGTTCTTAAACACCCAACAAAGGAAGAAAGTGGTTGATTTGTATTGTTTTCAGGCTTCTCACATGATGTACATCATATGGTAGTAAAATTTTCAAGCGTCAAAGTCATATTTTCAAAAGTGGCTGAGGCATTTAGCATCCTACGTCTCACTGAAAGTCAATGGGACTTAAGCTCTTAAGTCACTTGGCACTTTTGAAACTGTTACACTTTGTCCAGATCTTATGTTCTCATGAACTTAATATTCCTGTTTCTTTACAGTTTCCAAACCAAATAGTTTAGAGAGCAGTCGAAATGCATCTAGCAATAGCTCACCTCTCAACTTGAAAGGTAAGATATTTTCAGAGCTGAGGTGCTCTCTGACAAACAGGAATTGAAATTGAGTTGCTTGCAGTGCATTTTCTTTCCAGTTGGACTTGTAATCTGTACAGGAGCCTGGTTACCACAGAGACTTGAAATAGTGTTATCAAGAATTATTTTTTTAACATAGCCTGAATTCTAGGAGAGAAACACATTCTTCTGCCATATCATTATGAGGTATTCTGATGGATGAAAGTCAAGACTTAAACTCTGTGTTTACATACTAGCATCTCTCCAGCACACTAATTCTGTGCATAACTTTGTAAGATAAACATGCCCTCTAGATTTGCTAGAGTTCTGTTGAAAAGGATAAACCTATTAGGCTAAACATGGTGAAGCTGCTTTGTGCTGCCCCACTGGCAGATTCTGGTGCTCAGGTTGGCAAATGCTGTGACTAGGATGCTCTTTTTGTGCCACAGAGCAGACACAAAGGTTCAATTGTCATCCTTGCTGCCAGCAAAGAGTGTAGCTGTAGGGGATGTGTCCAGGATGCTACTGTACTGTACCAATGACAGTGGCTTGTTTCAGCTCCTTAGGACAATTAGCAACCAGCATAGTTGAAGACTGCTGTGCCGTGTACTTGAGATCTGGCCCTGCACAGCTGCCCTGGAATCAAGGCAGTGCAAAGCTGACTTTTGTTGCATGCTGTTCTGTTGTGGCTCAAAATCTGGCATTTAATTGGATTTTTTTTAAAGCTCTGGAATATAAGATGTTTCTGCTTTTCCCAAGTTCTGATTTTATAGGGGTTTAGAGAGGAGAAAACAATTATTATAAAATCCAATTGCAGTTGCTGTATTCAGCATGAAAAAGGAACTGAATCCTACATACCTTTCTCATTAGATGACATTTCTGCTAAAATTGAGGAAAATTCTTTTTTTTTTTTAATGCTCCTTATTCTCCTACTCAGGTTCTTCAGAACGTGTCTATGGCAGGTCCGAGAGCCTCAGCAGTGAAGATATGGTGCTGAGTAGAGACACACCTGCCTTGCCCAGAGACACCCACATCTCTCATTCCACTTCTGCCATCTTAAGCTCTAACAGCAAACAAGACTCCTCCCTTCACAGGAGCAGCTCAGTCTCTTATGACATACCTCAGAGGAGTTACTTAGCCCACTCCTATGCTGGTAGGCAGCAATCTGCTTCTCCTGGCAGTGAAATGGTGACTCTGGAAGAGTTTCTGGAAGAGAGCAACGGGTTTTCCCCACTGAATGTATGTACATTAAAACTGTAGTTATCTTGGGTGACACGAAAATTTTCCAAGCTTATCTAAGGGGAAGGGAAGAAAATAAGAAATATAGTAGGGCCTTCATTAATGACTGTGAGATTCATTAGAGAGGCAAGGTAATATCTTCTGCTAGATCACCTTCCATGGTAAGAGAGAGTGAAGCCTTTGAGCTATATGAAGCTCATTGTAATCTATGAATTTTGCAGATCAACATTTAAGCCAAACATCCCCCTCCAAAAAAAGCCTAAGAATGACAAATATCCTTTGTTAGTTTATTTTTATATTTGAACTAGAGCTAGTAAAATAACTCATTGCAAGTGATATTTGTTAGAATGTTGGTACTATTTTCATCCAGTAATTCTTTGTGATTAAACTTTCCCATTATTCCACCAGCTCCAAGTTTAGGTGAGTTTTAATTATATGTGAACTAGTAAATATTCTGTGCAGTATTCTGCAGAAGTAAATTTTAGTCATCTGAGTTGTTGATACAGGTTTTGTCTGTTAAATCTCTGTTGAAAACTAAAGCTTAATGACCATTATTAATTGAATTAGAATGTGCATCTTAAAGCAGGTCTGCTCTAGCTAAAAAAAAATCTCATGATCCAGTCTTTTCACAAGGATTTTATTAAGGATTTCGGGAGGGAAGTCTCTGTTCCCCTGGATTGTGTTATGTGAACCACGTGACGCTGTTGATGAAATCAATGCTACAGTATTTCACTGTGCATTTATAGATGTTTTTCAGGAAATAGTATTCATTTCTTTGTAAATGCCTTGTATTGCTTAGTGTATACCAGTCATGTGAAATGTCTCAATATGAAACATGTTGATGTCTTCAGACCAAATTCACTGCTGGCATAAGTGAGTGAAAGTTAATGGTGCATGAACAACCCAATAGCATTACTGATGTCATTAGAGTCCCCCCTCTTATGACATCAGGAAATCTTAGTCCTCAATGTTTACAACAAACCTTTTAAAATATATCGCAGTCCCTTGTCCTGAGTTCTTTAGGGTAAATTAATTGAATGCAAAACACCTGTCTGTAACTGTGTGATCATGTCTCCATTTTCATTCTTTCTGTCATCCTTGTTCTTTTTCAGCGGCAACACAGCTTAAGTGAGACCGAAATTATCTCATTGCACCAATTTCTGTTAGAAGCTGACGCACTGTGTCCCTCTTGCCATTTTCCATCTCATTCCCTCCATCAGGAACCTTCGCATTCAGTTGAACCAGTCCTCAGTCATTCATGTGGTGACAATGTGAGGCACAGAACAGGCAGGGGGAGTAGGAGAGCAACTTTGCTGTACTTCCCCAGGGTATCCATCTTCATCACTGTGTAGTTAATGGCTCACACCTCACTCAAGCCTGCAAGCATTTAATGCTTATGGAAGCTTATTTTAATGTTTCATCGCTATTTTAAGTAGCAAAATTACTCATATTAACTGTTACTAACATATTTCTAGTGTTGAGCAGGAGCACCTGTTTGTTGGGATAATTGTAATAGCACCGTATGGTGGCCCTCTCATTTTAATGTGCACAACAGAGATATAGACTAACATAAGAAATAACCCAGATTATTGGCATATGATTGAACCTAGAGTTCTTCTGATGCAGTAAGGCATTATCATGAGCTGCTCTTTTACAGCTGCTACTATTTACTATGAGTAAAGTGGGTCTTGCTACTGAAAGTAACCTCTGTAAACTCTGTAAAACGAAAAGATATATTAAGCCATGATGTGAAACTCCAGAAAAAAGCACTGAGGTGAAAAATATCAGGTTGTTGCAGCACATTCCTTTCATAACTTACATAACTATTAACTATTCACAGCATGCCTTGTACTAATAACAGAAGTGGATAGTCTTTTCCATATGCTTTTCATGAGTCTGTCTCTATTGATCATTTATTATATATTTTCTTTTATGGCCAGGTTAATTATTCACCTTCAGAATATTGTGCATTAATTTTTGGATGAGCAATCATTCATTTATTTTACATACAGCCGTTAACACATGGCATTCTAGTTTTGGCCCATCCCGTAAAAACAACAATGAATTTGCCCTGTAGTAGGCTGCTACATATCTTCATTTAGAGTGTTCTCCTGATGTTTCACTAATATTGGTACACGGTATTGCTCAGAGCAATCTGCATGCTAGAAATGACAAACACTAAATCACAGGCATGCACTAAATTGGCCAACACAAAATGAAGCAAAAGATGCAGCCGAGGGTGCTAGTTATCAAGAGAATTTCTTTAACTGGTGACAATTAAGCTGGCAAATAAGGCTGTCACAATCTAATTTTGATGATTAAGTAACTCATGGATCTAAATTTAGATGCTCTTTTCCCCAGTCCTCTCAGCTATCAATATGAAATAAGTGGTTTTGTGTAGGATGTTGTGGATCCCTCAAAAGTTGATACGAACACATCAGTTAGTGCAGAGGTGGGCAAGAGGCTGTCAGCAGCCCACAGCCTCTTTGCCAGAACTGTTAGGCAGAGAACAGTTTACACTTTAAAAAGGCTGCTATTCTCCCTTCCGGATGGCTGCGAAGGGAGGAGGGAGACTTCTTATGCTGTTCCTGCCTCCCAGCAAAATCTCTTCACTCCCATTGGCCAGTCTCTCAGTTTCCAGCCAAAAGGAGCTGAAAATTTTTGCTGAGAGCAAGGGCACTGTGAGAAGCCTTCCTCATTGACCTTCCTCACATGCCCAGAGTGGAGCCATGCGGTGCAGCCTGCAGCAGTCTGCCTCAGGTTTCTGCTGGTAAGCACCTCCCAGCCAGAGGCTGCCTCTGGCACCTCAACCCCTTTCCTCCCCAACCCTCTGTTCCCCCTCTACATACACAAACCCTCTTCCCCCTCTTGCACCCATACCCCCTCCAAGAGCTGGACCCCAATTCCCTGCCCAGATCACAATCCCCTCCTACTCTAGGTCACATCCCAAACCTCTGTGCTCCAGTCCACTGCCCAAGGTCACAACTGCCTACTTCACCCAAACTGCCTTCCAGAGACCATTCTCCCTCCTGCACCCCAATCCCTTACCCACAAGTTCCCTTCTGAACCCAACCTCTATCCCAGATCCCAGGATTCCTCCATTAATATCCTGGAAGAGTGCAGTCCTTTACTACTTTAAAAAATCTTGGAGTAGTCCCCTGTCAAACATTATTGCCCACCCCTGAGTTAGTGCATGAAGTACTTTGAAAGTGAGGCATGTTGTATATAGTGCCAAGTGCTCTCTCTTGAACATTTACTTTGTATTGATCCCAGGTTTCTTGATGTGTTGGAATTATGTTGTGACATCCTTGAGAGGAAAATTACTCGCTAAACACATTTTCCTTGCAACAGTGTTGTCATTAACATGCCATGTATGTATTTTCTCCCTGTAGGACGCTTTTGGTAGCAGAGATGAATTGCTGAGTGATTATTTTAGAAAAGCAAATGAGCCCCTTCCTATTGGGAACCAAGTTGGTCAGTCAGGTAGAAAGGAAGCAGCCAAGATGCCTACTAGCTATGTGTCACCAACTATAAAGAAGAACATCACCAGCGAAGAGGGGAGAGTGGCTAAACCTGGACATTATGTCAAACCAAACCTTAGACCAGTTGAACCTGAGCCACTTTCAAACTCCACAGGATCTCTTAAACTTCCTCCTACAGCACCACATCAGCCACTCAGTGGGGTGAAGCAGATGGCACAACCGCAGCACACCAGCACGATGAGCCAGAGGAATGCTTCACTGAGCAGAGCATTTAGTCTGGCCTCTGCAGACCTCCTGAAAGCCACAGGCCCAGAGATGTACAGACAGGAGAGCTCTCAAAAGCTAGGTGCAGATGTGTGTGTGGGCAAAGACTTGGGCAGTCAGACCGTACGGCTTTCTGTGCCCCCAGGCTCTCACCCTACCATACGAGACAGGCCACAGTCTGCAAAAGCAGCAGGCGCCTTGCAAGGTGTTGATTCCCGTTGTCGGCAGCTTGATGTGCGACGTCTTTCTCTGGCAGCTCCAAAGGAAGAGAGGCCTCTCTCTTTCCATCAGTTCTCTGCTTCTGCTGCTGCTTCTGCCAACAGTGTGCAGGAGCGAGTGAGTGCAGTGCCGGTGCAACACTATTCACCCACACAATATACACCGGCAAAAGTCAAATCCAAGCCAGCCTCACGTTCCGGGGAAGTGGCCACCGTGATTCCTGTCAGAGCTGCCTCTAGTAACACTGAGAGTGAAGGTACCCAAGGGCCAAGCCTGAATGATGCCCTCAACACCAAATGTCAGAGTAGGTCGCTAGAAGGCCATGCTGGTGCAGGGGCTATAGAAGAATCCAATAGAGGGGGCAGCTCCAAGAGCACTCCTGGATCTCCAGATCCCCATGGGGACCAGCAGACTGTCTGGTATGAGTATGGATGTGTGTAATCCATTGATTCTCTTGGCAACATGTTTTGAGTAGTGACATTTGGGTGGAATTTGCTTGTGGTATTTGTCAAAACACTGTGGCAGGTCTTAAAAGGCATTACCTGCACCTCATTATCTAGTTCGTTTATATGCCTTCCAGCCATCGTTTTTTAACGGAATAAAAGACATTTACATGATTAAAACAAAGAACTGAACAGCCAAACCAGGGCCTTTCCTTCACACTATAGTGCCTGAAACGGAGTGGATCCCCTGTCGACTCCCCAAAAAGACATCGGGCCTAATTTTCAGAAGTGCTGAGCACCCACAAATCCAGGTGAAAACAACCGTATCTGTGAGGGCTCTCCACTCTGACAATTGGTCACCGCCTCTCCCTATTGCCCTGTCCCATGCTCCCCCAGATTCTGCATTAAAGAAAACATTCATGGGTCAAATTTAACTGGCTTAAGCTAGCATAAAAAAAATCATATAAAAACCACACTCCTCTCTGGGGAAGAGACAAACACTTGCAGTGACCTAAGAAAAGCTGAAGGTCAAAAGTGCGCTGCTTTGCAGTGAGTCTAAGTAAAAGCAATTATGTTTGTAACAGCTGCGTTTTATAAATAGGAGGAGTAGAATTCAAGGGTCTCATCTTAACCTTTCACATTGGGAACTGTTTGATTACAGAGGTCAGTGTACTTGCCTCACTGCCTCCACTACACGCACAGTTCAGCGGATCCTGGATTCTGAAAACCAAGTGGTGCTGCCTTTTGAAACTTGTTTTATCTTTTATACAAACACTGGAACTGATAAAGCCTGTTCAGGGATATGCCTGATTCCAATGGCATTGCAAAGATGGCATCCCATGCACAAAGGTGACTTGTACAGATGTATATGAAAAGTTAAATCATTGTAAAGGAGTGTTGTTTGTAAACTATATTAATAAATGTGCTATCACTTTTTGCATCCCTTTAATTACCCATGTCTGAAGTAATATATAGGAATCTCTCCCTTAGATTAAGTCTTTGTTTCTGTCTTAAAGAACTTGTTTAGTGTAGAAACCAAAATATTGTTATATACACGTGAAATAAATCTAATTTTAAAAATCTATTTATGTTCATATAAAATTTCTTTTATATGTCTGTCAGGAGTTTCATTAGCTGCTTATGTATATATGATGAAATGTGTATCTTTAATTCTATTTCATGTTTGTAAAGGTGTTTTCTTTTTGAAAGACTAAATCCCTGAAAAACGTTAAGATTTTTCGAACACTGGTTCTGATTTAATATTGTAAAATATACATGTAAACAATTTTAAACTGATATCAGTTTGCCTAGCAATGTTTCTGTTATATAGTATGTAGCAATCACATTCTGAAAATTACAGGATTGTTTATAATAAAAGATTTTTAAAAACAAAGTTGTGTGATTGATTTTTTCCTTTAGAAAAATCTCAGATTCACAGGGATGGAGCTAAATCTGAGTTTGGGAGATGTGTGCAAACTTATTTTAATACTGAAGAGTACTCACAACCAGTATAGTTTTACTTCCCTTTACAATATTTTCATTTAGCTTTATCAGAAATTGATTTATATGATTTTTATTGATTTTTATATGGTAGTCTCCTTAATGAGTACTTCAGTGGAACTAATGGGGCTCGTCTACATTGGCCCCTTTTCCGGAAGGGGCATGCTAATTTTTCAGATCGTAATAGGGAAATCCACGGGGGATTTAAATACGGCATTTAAATAAAAATGTCCGCCGCTTTTTTCCGGCTTTTAGAAAAGCCGGAAAAGAGCGTCTACACTGGCCCCAATCCAGCCCGATCCTCTGGAAAAAAGCCCTTTTCCGGAGGATCTCTTATTCCTACTTCAAAGTAATTCAAAGTAGGAATAAGAGATCCTCCGGAAAAGGGCTTTTTTCCAGAGGATCGGGCTGGATCGGGGCCAGTGTAGACGCTCTTTTCCAGCATTTCTAAAAGCCGGAAAAAAGCGGCGGACATTTTTATTTAAATGCCGCGGGGGATATTTAAATCCCCCGTGGATTTCCCTATTACGATCTGAAAAATTAGCATGCCCCTTCCGGAAAAGGGGCCAATGTAGACGTAGCCATGGGGTGCATCTACACTGTACCGTTAGCTTGAAATAAGGTACACAGTTTGAGCTATGCAAATTGCTTATTTCGTAATTTGGTGCTGTCTACACTGCGCCAAATTTCAAAATAAACTGCTATTCCAAAATGTCCCTTACTCCTCATGGAATGAGATTTACAGGGACGTTGGAATAACATGCTCATTATTTTGAAAGATATTTTGAAATAATGGGCATACTGTTAAAATGCAGAATAACTATTTTGGGATACCGGAAGTATCCCAAAATAGCACCACAGTGTAGATGTACCCCTTGTGAATTAAATGACAGGCATACCTTTGTAGGATCAAGCATTTCTGATGGGAGACCATTTTAAATAACCAAGCACATTGCTGATATTTTACAGAATGCAGCTATATAACACTTTTCGTGCATAAATCTCAAAGCAGCTTACAAATGTGGATAAAAATCTCCAAACTGAGGAACAGTGGTAAAGTGATTGCAACTTTTCCTACTTGTTCAATCTGAAACACCAAAAAGGTGTGTCCTTATCTACTGCATTCTACTCTTTAAAAAATCCTTCATCAAGGAGTTTGCTTGAGTATATTCACTGACCTGCAGGTTAAACTACTAAAAGTTAGAACCCTATCTGTGTGGTTACAGTCATTGTAGCAGCTCTGATTTGATGGAGGCGTGAGTTTAGATCACAGCCTAGATCTTTTCATCTTGAAAATCAATGTTTCTTTTAAACTGATATGCAAGGTTTTTAATTATCCCGAGTCCCTATTTGTCTTATTTAAACTTATATCGCATCTGTCTTTAAGTGCCTCACATAAAACACAAATTGTAGCCATGATGAAAACCAAAGCTACATGGAGCCTAATATCCTTTGTTGTAGCCCTCAGATTATCAAGAGTCAGCATTAAAGAGTGAATAGGCAAAGGTGAGCACTCTGTTATAGGAATATTATATTGCAGTTTGTTCTATACAGACATCATTAACACTTGACCTGTAATAGACTTTGTGGCTCTACTACAGAGTATCTCAGTCATCTATTTCCTATTCACTGTGAGCAGTTAGAAGATTTATTTCCCTGAGAATCCCCTGCCTTACAATAGCGCACTCCCTCTTGAACACTTGAAACATTTGTGAATAGCTAGATAGCTGATTTCCTAAAAGAAACTTTTGGAAAACGTGTCATGAAGAGTAGTGGTGCTGACATGGACATAGAACAGGTGATTTAAGAGATCTATCCTGGCTTTAATTTCCATATTACCACTATCTTCCTTATAAGTACTCATTCTATGTGCTACTGAAGTAGGTGGGTGTAAAATATGTGGAATTTAGAAAGACTTACTTTTTTTAACTTTAAAATGTTAAGATTATATAGATATAGATATAGATATCTATAAATATCTTCCTTTTTCCTCCCCTCACTCCACTTAAATGGAGTGTGAGAGGCCAGTAGTGTTGGCTTTTCAGTAAGTGGTGATTGTGTTTTCCAGGAAGGGGCAGATTTTCAGAAGAGGGCTGTTCATAGTTAGGCACCCAAGTAAATGGACAGACTTTCCAAAGAGATCAACCCCTTGAGTGCTGAGCTCAGGAGAGTCTGTCCATAAGTGTGACTAGAATTGGAGTCATCAAGTCTTGTGTCTGCAGAAGGATTCTCAAGGCTCTTCAATGTAAGTGATTAATTTTTTATTTGAAAAATTGCACTGCATGAGTGAGCTTGTTATTGAAATAAAAAGCAGCTTGTCTGTTCAGTACTTCTTGATAAACAGAAATTGTTCACTCATGCTATCTCATCTAATATGGCTTGTTTAGAAACTGTAAAGCCCTGCACTCCTAAAGGTACAACCTTTAACAGGAGTGTTTGCTCTATTGGATATTCTGTTCCTTCTCCCCAGCATTCAAAGTTGGTTTCAGATATACAGACTGTTTATTCTGGTATTAAAGTGTAGGAAATTGAAAAGGCAGAATACCAAATGTTAGATTATTTTTCCATAATAAAGGAGTGTGGAATAGGAGTTCTTTGTAAAAATGGCTAAAGCGTGTATGTTCAGAACATTGACAGACACACACCACATAGCTAAAAAATATTTCTGATCACCAGATGGTGGGTGGGTCGGTGAGTGAGTTGGTTAGGTTTTTTTTTTTTTTAAGTCTGGCTTAAAGTATGTAACTCTAAGCCAGGAACATCTCTGAAACATGCAGAGGGAATCTCCAATTAGTCATGGAATGATTTACAACCTGTAAGGAGTGTATGGGAAAAAGGAGAAAATAGTACAGTAATTACCATTACTAGGGAAGGCCATGAGAATTTTAAGCAGGATATTTAGGTTTGAGAACTGAATGTGAAAACTAAGGCATCTCCAGAGACTGTTGAATTGGAAGCAGGAAAAAGATTTCTGCAAGAAGTGGAAAAATGTCTGTAATGCCCTGAAGAAACTATGTTGTTTCTAAAATTATAATCAGTTTGCCATTCTGCAGGGCACTGGGAAGGTTATGGGACTCACAAAATAGTCGTCTTGTATCTTTAAATATATATTTGACAAATGTTTCTCAAATTCCTTGTTAACCAGTAAAAAAAAGCTGTTGTGTAAATTATTAGAATTTTTGCTGTAGCTATCTGAAAATTGAAATGTTTGTGTATGGACACTGGATTTATGTAATGCCGTTTGATTTGCATATTTGTGTGCTTTGGAGTTACTAGTTGCTTATGACCATGCTGAAGATCTTCAGTGTTCTCTGTAAGAAAAACAATTCTAATCTTCATTGAACTAGTACTACAGGTCTATATGTATGTGCACTGTGGAGTGAAAGATGCTAAATCATCAAGGATCTGGGAACACCTGTTAAATCTCTTGCAGCTTTTAGAATTTTTTTAGCCTGATGGCAGGGCTTTGAAGCAAGAAGCTGTCACATGACAATTCAAAATTAAACCCAGAGAAGCAAGCACTATGTACCAAGTAGACTTGTATCAGCACAGTTTGTAAAGCAGCAACTGGGCCATATACAAATATGATGCATAAAGTGGGTAACTTAAACTCCCTTTCACTCACTCAGATTTTTCAGATTGCTCACACTCAGCCCATGGGTGAGAGAGTGTAAAGTTTGTGTAATTTATAACCTGAGGAGCAGTAAAATAGTATTATTAAAGAATCTAGCTTCTTAGGGTATAAATGATACTCAATTATAATCCTTAACACGTGGTGGCTATATCTACATTAGAGTTTTTTATTTTTTTAAAAACAGCCATTTTTCTGAAAAAATTTCACATATGTCCACACTGCAATCACAGATGTGCTTTTTCATCTTCTTTCGAAAGAACTCCTCATCCACACACGCCTTTTTCTGAAAGAGCTCTTTCAGAAAAAGGCGTGTGTGGATGAGGAGTTCTTTCGAAAGAAGATGAAAAAGCACATCTGCCCTGGTGGCCACTCTGTCCATAGTAATCACAGCTTACATGCGAGATAACATCCATTCTATGTGGACGCTATCTTTCAAAAAAGCAGATCTCTTTTTCGATACACTTTGGCAGTGTGGATGCTCTCTTTCTGAAGAAGTTTTTTCAGAAGATCTCTTCCAGAAAAGCTTCTTCCGAAAGAAGACTGCAGTCTAGACGTAGCTGGAGAGAAGAGATCTAGGGGAGCCTGAGTTTAAAGTGGTCTAAATTTGCATAAAGGGGGAATCAAACTATTTTATGAATCACTTCTGAATTTGGTCTAGTGGCAGCCTTTATGATGATAGAGTAATCAGTGCTACTTTATAAGTTACATAACTTATGTTTTTAAGTATTTGTTCAGTTACCATAATTTTTTAAAGAACTATGCGTGGTTGTGAAGAATAAATTTCTAGTGTCTCTGTGTCATTAAGAATCAAGTTTCACAAACTACTGCATAGCACATACCTGAATAGTCTCTATTGAAATCCTGTTTCCTCTTCTTCATTTCATATCAACAGTCTGCCCTTTCTTCAGTCCCCCACTGCTAAAAGCCTGCACCACAATCATTTCTCCTATCACTTTTCCCTCTCTTTCCTCCACCTCTTTGGCTGTGTCTAAACTACATCCCTTTTCTTGAAAAAGGGATGTACATTAGACACTTTGAAACTGCAAATGAAGCTGGGATTTAAATTTCCCATGCTTCATTTGCATAATGGAAGCCGCAGTTATTTCGAAACGGGGCTTTTAGAAAGAAAAACGGCTGTTTAGATGGGGATCGATTGAAAATAAAACTTTTTCAAAAAATCCTGTACTCCTGAAAAAATCAGGATTTTATTTTCAATCGATCCCCATCTAAACAGCTG